CCTCCCCCCCCCCTTGGTTGTGTGCCCCCGCCAGGCTCGAAGAAAAGCTGGGAAAGGTGGGCGGGGAGAGCGGCGACGGGAAGGATGGCGGCGAAGGAAAAGACGGCGCGGAGAACGAGTTCGTGCGGGCCTCGAAGGAGAAATTCTCGGGGGCCCAGAAGGCGCTAGACGAGAACTCGTTGTTCTCCAAGCTGACGTGCGATTTCAATGGTTGCGATACTTGGGTTACGCAGACGCTGGTGTTGGTAGGACGGACTGCTTCGGTTGCGCGACAAAATTGCAGTATTGTATGCGCGCAGTGTGCTGTGCGTGCGGATTGGTGGAGCGAGTGATATCAAAATAGTTGTGTTAGGCTGCCCGGCAGGGGGGGAGGGTTCCGTGGAACGCGGACGGTCCGCACGCACGTTCCTTGGCGCGGCACCACACTCGACCCTCGATCTTCGATCACCCAGGCCTATTGATAGTGCTGTGCCGTTGATGGAAATATTGGATGTGTGGTGACGCCGAGTTGAAGAAGAGTTTCCAAGCCCAGGTACCTTCGTTCAACCTCTAGCAGCCAAGCGTCGTCCGACCGTACGGAATGGAGAGCGGTGTCAGCGGATGCGTGTCTTAACTACTAGCATCGACCGCGCTAACCGACGACGAATGAAAGGCGTCAGTTTCAGTGCGGTGGAAAACACAACAAATTCTGCTTCTATAGCCCACGATCTGCGACCCCGTGAACGAGCGTCATGGGGGGAGTCTGCGCTACTCTTCAGATTAAAGACAGATGCTGCAGCAATACCAAAAGAAAACTGGATGTGTGTGTCTGTTTTCGCCGGTGTGTATTGCTTCCCGTGGAGGCGGAGGCCCCGCCCCCGTTTACCGCAGAGGCAGCGGCTCAAGAACAAGTTTTCTACCCAGGGTTGACGCAATCGGCTTGCATGACGGGAAAGCTTGACGTGAATCAGACGGGGATTATTCGCTACCACCAATCTGCATGCTGTAGCTGCTGCTTACTTCGTACCGTCGTCTTGCGCTCTACGCGGCAGGGTCAAGACCCAGGCTTTCCGAGAAGCCGTGGCGGGCGCCTCTTCCGAGCTATTCCCTTCGGAAGGACAGAAGGCGGAGAGTGCGGTGGTGAAGAAGCTCAAGCAGCCCAAGAAGGAAAAGAAGAAAAAGAAGGAAAAGGACGGCAAGGAGAAGGCCTCGTTAGAGGGAGAGGAAGAGGAGGAGGAGGAGGAAGAAGAAGAGAAGAGGGGAATGGGAAGCCTGATGATCGTCAAGACGGCGGGAGAGGCGTGGGAACGACTGCAAGAGAGGCTCAAGGAGTCCCCCATCATCCAGGTCAGAGTACATATGGTTGCCTGGCCGCCACGTCCCCGCCACAAACACAGAAATAGACGCTCAGAGTATTGATAAGTGGAGAAGGGTTCGGAAAAAATCGAAGGGACGAGGCTAGCGACGAGCGCAATGGACCGAGACAGAGTATCTACCGCAGGAGGAAGCTCGGCACGGTGTGTTGTGTGTTGATCTTGTGAACATCTGAACCCGGAGACTGGACCCCTGTCGTCCAACCTCCGCCGCGGCCGTCCTGTCGGGGTAGCCGCGGAGCAGATGACCGTTTCGCTATTGTTGTCCCGCGATATCAGAACGACATCTTTCCATTGGCCTGTCGGTTGCCGCTGCCCATGCTGCTAGCTGAAAGGTTTCAACATTAGACACACACGCCTGATTGTGGGGGCGTACATAAGGGGATCGTATCCCGAGATTTAGTGATCGAGCACACTAGCCGGCTGCATTGCCTCGCGCGCCGGCACGAGACGATGCGAACGGGCGGCTTGCTCACGCGCATTCACGACCGATTCGTTTAACCTCTCGCGTCGCTCGGAACTCGTGTTGGTCGCGCAGGACCTGCTGGGAGCTTCTAGAGTTGTGGCCTCGGGGTCGCTGGGACGAGGGGCCAAGGCTGCGAAGGACACGGTCAAGGATAAGGTGGAGGACGTTCAGGAAGCCTGGGAGACCAGCCAGGTAAACGTTCGGGGGAGATTTCCCGTGCCCTGGTTTGGCGTACCGCCCTTTGTGTGTCATCTTCGTCGCATAGATGGTGTACCTCGTCCGTGGTACCGTTCAGTACGCCCGGTGTTTCACGGCGCCCCTCTCTATGAAAGCACTGGGAATACGGGCGTTGCGAGCGACAGAGGCTCCGCAGGTCGCTTGGGCCGAATTTTTGGCGACGGAGGGCTCGGCAAGCCAATAGCACTCCCCCTTCTGTTATGTTCACGCGTTGCTCTTTCGCCCAAACATTTGGCCCACCGTTTTTTTGTCGCGCAGCACCCCCTGGTGTACAAGCTGTCCTCGGCGTGGGATAGCTTGACGGCGGAGAGTGACGAGGGGATAGGGGTGAGGGAGCTCCGGCGCCTTGACCCGTCATTCAGCGTGGAGGACTGGAAGAGAGACATCCAGGAGCTTTTCCTGCCGGAGTTCATGTCCGCCTTCTTGAGAGTGAGACTCGAAAATGGATTCCAATGTCTTCTTTTGATTTTTAGATTTTTTATTGATACCGTCGGTTCGACGTACAAATCACGCACGCGCGAAGACATAAGTTTTGAAGAAGCAAGGATGGTACAAAGACGAATCGGGGTAGGGTTGGGAAAGAGGTCGGAAGGAGAGAGAGCCCGTCGCCCAAACTCGGAGGCTGTGTTTCAATACGAAAGTCTGCCGTGGGAGCACCACAAGAGATATGAACCCGAACAAGCTATTTTTGCCGCGCCCCTACGACGGCTTGCCGCGCCACAAGAACGGAAATTTACTGGCGGCTCTCACCTGCACGGCCAATCGTCAACTGCGGATGACTCTTTCAGAGTGGTGTATAGTGCAACACATGAAATACTCAACCTCCGTTTATGGGGAGACAAATATTTTAAATGTAGTGTGACGTTGGTTGTGACCGCTGTTGACGACGAAAAAAGCGTGGATGGATACTACTTTCCGGCGGTTGTCGCTCTCCCATAGAGCCGAAACAGAGAAAGTAGAAGGGATGAAGCCGCCCTTTCGTGCCTCAGTTTAGCGGCATGAACTCTCTTCTGAGCGTGTGGTGGCAAGTCAAACGCGCGAGACTCTCTCATCTGATGAGTCCGGGCATGAGAATCATGATCCTCAGGTGACGCACTCGCTTGCAGCAATACCAACTGCTGCAATGTTCATCGCCATCTTGTCAAGCTAGCTTCTCCGGCCAAACCTACGTTCACTACCCGTTCACTACCCGTTTTTCCGACATGTTGGTGTTGTTGATCCCCAGGGCGACGTGAAGTTGCTCAAACAGTGGACGGGGGAGGCGTGCTACAACAAACTTGCGTCCGAGGCTAGGCAACGAAAAGCCGACGGGATGGTCTTGGTAAGGGCTCTCTTTTCGAAGCTTTTTTTTTTGGTAGGGTAAATAATTTGTTGTTGAAATTCTCCAGTATACGGACAACGCTGCATGTTTGCTACGTTGATGTATCCCAGACCATGTCGACGATGTCTCTGCGAGTCTTTGATTACATTCCATAACCTGCCCGGGCGGCGTATCGTGAACGAAAGCTCGAGATTTGTAGGATTCGTTTTGGGCTGCTTGCTGGCTTCTGGCGACCGAGGGATGCGTTGTTATTTTGTCAGCCTCGAGACGACACGAAAACGACAAAGGGGCGATCGAATATTGAAAAACGTGGCAATTCGGGCGTCCCCTGTCCGGTGTAGTTCTCTTTTTGTGGCACACCTGTTGGTCTCGTCTGGTATGTGTTTGTAACGGGTTCTCGTTCGGAGTATGAATCAGATGCCGTTAGTTTCTGTGCGAAGTGCTTGATGTCTTTTTTCGCTTGTAGACTCTTGGTTTTCGTCGTTAGTGTGTCTGGAGTTGCGCGGGTGGTTGGGCAACCTTGAATTTCCGATGATGCGAAGAACTGCCTGGTTTGATGGTCGCTCACAATGTTGACGGTCGCTTGCAATTTCGACGCCTCTTTGTGCTTTTCGTCTCCACGGCGCAGGACCCGCACGTCCTGGACATCCGGCAGGGGGAGGTGCTGGCCATCAAGGCGGACGCCGGGAAGGCCAACCCTACGATCGCGTTGCAGTTCATGTGCCAGCAGATCAACTGCGTCCGCAATAAGTGAGAGCTGTTTGCGGGGTATGACACCCGCATGTCCTTTTGGGGCGGCCTTTCGATGACCTCCTGTTGTGAATCAATGGGATGACACAAGACAGCTTCCCCGCGTGATCCTCCGTCACGGGTCCCCCAGATCATGGAATTAGAAGCGTTTCCCTTTTTACCCGCACTGAGACAGACGTATTTTGATTGGTCAGCCTGTTGATCCTAGAAATGAACACCCAGAACACACGCACACGCACGTTAGGTGGTAGCTTGAGTGAGCCTGTCGCTCCTTGTCTTGCGTCGTGGCAGAATAAGAGTACAGCTGTTCGACACGATACCACGGCGGCGCTAGATAATAGTATTCGATTCGAGACTGACTCGTCAACGACACAGGAGAGCCTCCTTAAGAGTATTTCTGCTGCACTTTTGCCCAGATGACGTATGCATACGTATGACAAGTTGTTATTCCGAACCAAGCCGGTGTAATCACACACATTTGGTTGGCCCCTCTCTCGTTTTACCCGTGTCCCCGGTTCGGACGTCCGCGGTGGGTCTTCGGCGTGATGGTGCGTCGCCCGCGGCAAGCAGAAAGGGCGAGATTGTGGAAGGTGCCGAGGACGACATCCGCGCGACGTACTATATCCTGGCGTTCCAGAGGGAGTTCAACGACGACGAGGCCGAGCTGAGGTGGAGAGTGGTGGACATGATGGTCGTTGGAGGTGGGTGAAGCGACTGCTCTGGTTTGGTGTGTTGGGTACGCTAGCTTCTTGGTAGTCGTTTTCGTTTCTGTTTGCGCGTACAGCAGTCATGGCGCACCCGCGTATCGGAGGGCAGGTGGTGTTTCGTGTTCGGGTCAATTGGCTGCGGCAGCCGCGGCAAGACACGTGAACGACCCTCCAGGGCAGTGCACAGAAGAGTAGCGGGTGTGGCGATGGCCGACGAGGAAAGCCAATATTTTCTTCGAGCCCATTGTCCTTGGAACGTAGCAAAGCTCCATCCCGTACCTTGACTCTGTACGATGCTTGTCCTGTTCTTGGTTGTCGTTATGCAGCCCTTATAGCGATGCTTCTTTCACCCTTCACCTCCGGGACCGTTCCTAAATCGCTTTTCCGCTTGCCCCTCTGCTGCCTCCGCGTGCTCTTCTGCGGTGTTTTGCCGACAAACTTCTCTGTGCGTCACGCACAGCCTTCCCGTGGTACTAGGGGGCTACGTTGCGATCGTAGCGGAGGCCGCGCAGAGAAGTCGCGACTGTCGTGATGGCGTAGGGTACATTAATAGCACACGCGGCGTGGCAGCGTGAGTTCGGCAAATCCGTACGAGATGTGCGAGAAGGGAACGACATTCCCAAGGTCGTGAAGGGCTGCATAGTCGTCGGGGGGCGAAGCGCGGATAGATTTCGTTGGTTCGGAGTCACGCGGCGACGGCACTTGGTAGCTCGCGGCACATAGGTTCGTGACTCCGGAGTCGCGACGCCACGCTTAACAAAATCGCCCGCAAACCAACCACCTTTTGGATGGCGTGGTCGACTACAATAGAGGGATTCGTGGCTTCCCAGCTAAGAGAGAGCCTACCTATTTGTGGGAAGGGGAGCAACGTGCTCATGTGCAGCAGCTTTCATTGGAATATTTTGTGATGTTGCTGTGTGTCTCTGGTAAAGTGCCCGAGTCAGGCATTAGCTTGCAGGTTGGAGGTGGTCCAACTACAACCACATCAGTGCGATCTTGACGTTGGTCTGGAAGTCTCTTCGTAACACTACGAAAACGCTGTCGGCCATCCGGACTGCCGTATGTTCGTCACATCCCCCGTTGCCATGTAGCCTGTTCATTACAGGGCGGGAACGGAGAACATTATCAAGCCACGCTCAAGTGTTCCAGCCCGCCCTTTCGCGGAGCAGTCTGCAACTGGTGAACACAATTCGACCTTGGCTGACGCCTGAACCTCTACCTCGTAACGAAGTGTGAAAATCAACGCAGCAGAACAGCGCTATGACACCCATGCGATGACCCAGTTGTTGGTGGATGGAATGCGACAAGATCGAAGCAAGGCGCGTCCCGCGCCACGACGTGTATACGGGTTCACGCAGGCACACCGACTTCATCGAATTTGCTGCATTTATCTTCCCCGGCTACTACATGCACCTCAAACATGTACAGAAACTCACGTTGGCGCTCAAGAATGGAACTTCCTTGTGTAGGACGAAAACACGCACACGAAAACATATTGAAGCTAGAGTTACGAGCCCAATCGCACCACAACGAGATACCGCAAAGGGACTAATCAACTCACCAAAACATGCACATTTTTCCTTTGTATGCGTTCTACTATTTTCTCTTGCAAGTAATCTGGAGAATATGGAGACTGGACCCTGTCGTCCAACCTCCTCCATGCCCCCCCAGCCAGGGGAGCCCGATGACTACACGTCGTGTCCACATTTGTATCCCGCCAATTGTTGTTGTTGTCTTCACATTGAAAACCGTTCCGATCTCCCTACTAACCAGTACTTATCTCCCCATATCATACTGATCAAACACTTGAGCGATCGATTCCCCTCGTGGTCACAGGCTAACTTACCTAAAAAAGGTAGAACCTCAATAAAAATGGACCCAAAGGGTCCGCAAGCCAGTTTTAAAATCAACAACAGATGATAGTCTGGGGCCCTCCGCTCCCGAGTCAACAGTACACTATAGGCCAGAGAGAGGTGCATCCCCCTTGTTGAATCTTGTACTGCCAAGGCTGAAATATTTTGATTGGTCCACCGATTGACACGGTCGACGCCATTGAACAAATTGTAACGGTTCTTTCGCGCGGCTTTGATCCCGCCGCAGTTGTCGATCACTGCTGTCGCGCACACGGTCACCACTCCCCTCTTCCATACCTCCAACCTCCCTTCCGGCAAGGGCGTCGTTTAGATTTCCGGAGGTAAGCCACATAATTGCTTTGTTTCGTTCAATCTTCCCATCCAAGCCGCGCTAGCAAAGGTTTTATCGAGGCCATTAGATCAGGGCCATCGGGGCCACCGTTGTGGATGAGACACACCACTGCTGCTGTTATCCACACGGGCTCTTGTTCCGTTTCGGAGGCGGAGAACAGTTGCGCCGCATATCGAGACTACATGTAGTTCGCCCGGGCAGCTCGAATGCTCGAACGGGTGAATCTGACACCTGGCACACCTGTGTCCTGGCACCTGGCCTTCGCTGGCGAGGATATATGTATATATATACTTCCTCTGTATCATAAGTTAGGGTACCTAAATGCAATAGTTTGTCTGGGTGCAACCGTGTTAGTGATGGTAGCATAGTCGGGTTTGTAAGAAAGATATAACAAAGAAGAAGCGATGGAAAAAAAATTAAAAAAAACGAACATCTATTTCTGTACCTACTATTGGTCAAAATGTACCCTATTTTGGCCTGTTTTGGGAATATTTTTGAGAAAATATGTTGGGATATTTTTTGAGAATTCTCGACAAAATTCTCAAATCCATTTTACTACCCTACTCTAGCGATGGAATCGCCCCCCAGCACACCACCTCGCAAAAGGGGCACCGAATTATCGGTTGGTAGGCGCTATGCCATGGCGGTAGAAATTGCGATGGGCATTCAGCCGGGGTTGTCAAGGATTCCCAAGGGCGTGCTTGACCCGATCTGCGAA